CTTTAATAAAAAACTACCTCCGGCCTAAATAATGCCGGCATAACCCAACATGAGTAGTGTAAAGCGATACTTTTCGAGACATTGATCTAGATCTATATGTATCGGTTATACTAATATGCGAGGGTCGTCGATCTTGCATAAAATCTCAAAGATAATATATAGCTTTTTGGTCATGTGTTAAGAGCCTATACCAGAGCATATTTTAAAGCGTCCTTTATTTTTAATTGAATTTAGGTGATTATCATATATTATTTAGATCGCGTAATCTAGGCAAATTTCGCGCAACCTTGAAGAATTAAGGCAATATAAAATGGTCAATTTTTTTTAAATGATACGGGTTCTAAAATTTTACTATATATAGCACCAAATTTTGGTAAAGATTAGCCTTAACAGTAAAAGGTTTTATTAGTGACATATTTTTGTTTTCAATATAAAGCCCGATTTGTAAGGAAACATGCGCTCTACCTTTAATTGGAATTTTTATTTTTGATAGATTATAAAATTAGATATAGTAAAAGAACCCTAAAAAATCCAATAATTTTAATCATTTATTTATTTTTCTTCCTTTTAAATTTTTTTTAGGACGCCATTTAGGCATACTTTATTTATTTCATTTAAATTTAAAAATAGTTAATGGGAAACAAAGGTTATTTTGCATATAAAGCAGGTATTTTTAAAATTTAAATTTAAATCTAAAACTTTGAGAAATAATAATTAGGCACCAACTTGCAAAACGTTTATGTTTTTCTATTCATAAACCAATGCAATTATGTTAAACATTCACTTTTTAATAATTTTATTATTTATTTTTACATTGCAAAGATATCCGACAATTCGTGCTCAGACCGAACCATTAGCGGAATTATGGAATGTATCAGATATACAGCTGCGCAGGTTATTGGAAACTGAGACAAATTTGATGGGTTTGAGTGAAGATATAAAACAATTAATAAGTAATAGAAATAGAAACTTTTTTGCGGGAATTAGTATAAATGTAGTTCATAATCAATTAGTCTTTCACACTACAGATTTTGCTAATGCCATTAAAATATTGGATAACCCTCAAATAATTCATAGAAGACATTTAATAGTAATTGATGCGGTTCCTTTACCCATAGGTGACATGAATTCTAGGCTTCGAGCAATATTCAGCATAGCTATAAGACATAATCCAGTGTTTGTTGGTATTTTCATTGATGTAGAACTTAATAATGTTGTTATACTTTCATCCCATGAATACGACGTACATAATAGGGAATTTATGGATGAAGTCAGAAATGTAATTATTCCGAATCCGATTTTTGAATATGGAAATTTACATAACGTACATGTGAAACGCCAACCTCCTGAAAACAATCCTCTGATAAATTTCCCTATTATAGCTGGTGAAGGTATCCGTAATTTAAATCATCGTTTAACGTGTTCACTAGGTTATTTTGCAAAAACAGAGGATAAAAATCATGGTTTCTTTATAACCTCAGGACGTTGTTATCGGTATAACCAACCTTATCATCGTCTACCGTGGAATTCACAAAATGCGCAAAATAATATTGGAATAATGACAAGAAAGGGAGAGTCTCGTAGGCGAATCGATTTTGGTGTCCTCGAAATAGGCAATCTCACTCCAGAGGCGTCTATAAGGAATACTGATTCTTTATATAATGATCAGCTTTTTATACTTAGTGATTTTTCTGTACCTGTCGTTGGTGCTCATTTATGTAAATCTGGCTACGGCACACATAATACTTGCGGTTCCATAAGATCTCTTAATGCGATGTTTTTTGCAACTGAAGGTTATAAAGATTTATATGCTATACGAATTAAAAGTGATAATAGAGATGTTGGAGGACCCGTATTTTCTTATCATGGTCCTAATATTGCTAATGATGATGATCCTGCGGAACTTTATAATGTACGTTTAAATGGTATACTCACTGGAGCCATAGGAAATATTGCTTTTATGACACAATATAAAAAAATTAAGGAAGAGAGTAATTTATTTCTTGTTAGTTCCACAGGTGAACTATTATAAATTATTATCTGTCTTATTACTGGGAATCATTAAATGTTGTGATCCGAACATCAATTTTTTTCAATGCTTTAATTTTTTTTATTAATCCACATAACATTATACTTTCGTTTAACGTTCCTTTTTACAATTTGAGAGGGTTCAAATTGAATGAATGTTATATTATATCACAAAAAAATAATCGTACAACTTGTTTATTTACCCTACAAGATTATTTTACATGATAATAAGCAAACAAAAAGTAATAGTAATGCTCTACGTAGTTTTGTCTGATGTGATTCATTTTTGATAACGCTATTCAAAATTGATATTATTAAAATTAAATATTTTATAAGTTAATAGTACGATTCTTATAAATACCCAAAAAGCGGTAGAAAAGAAAGTACATTTATGGTTCCAAGTCTTTTATAAACAAGGAAATAATTTCATGAACAAGTTCTACTCAGAATTAGACCATCATGTTTGAAACAATTGAAACAATTGCATTTGGAATTATCAACAAAATTTAAATTATAACAAAGTTCAAGGATATATTAAGGGAGTTTATATTGTTTATCTAACTTGTATGAAATTAATATGTTAAGTAATTAATTAAAATAATTTAAAGAATAATTGTTTCTTTACAGAATCTTTCAATTTTGCAAAATATTTTTAATATATTAATATTATACTAGTGAACAATTTGTTGTACCTATTGTAATGGGAATATTCAATAGTTGGCATGTGAGATAGTATTAACAAATGCTATTTTGGGTTTGACTTGAGGTGAAACATAGATATTGAATAATCTAAATGAAGCTCATAGTCATATAAATAAGTATTGTTAGTTATAAATGCTGGCAATAAGATCCTGGTTCTCCTTTTTTGCTTTTTTTCGAATAATATAGAGTAGTGATGATTAGAGTTTCAATCTGGATAATCTGTTATCCATTGATCTATATCTAATTATTAAAATAATCTAAATCGCCCAGATATCCAGATAATCTGAAGGGTAATCAGATAATTATCCAGATATTAATAGTAAAACGGATATCTGAATAAATTCAGATTCAGATATCTGATAGATAAATAGATAAATGGATAATAGATTGAAACACTAGTGATGATTTGAAACTGCCTGTTAAATTGTATTAAAGGTATTACTAATTGATATATGGTAATATTATTATATCTATCAATTGCCAAAATTAGACAAAGCAGATAGATATTAAAATAAATATTTGGCTACTCCTATATCTATGCCAAAATTCTGAAAATTAAAATCTCTAACTTAATTGTCTCATCATGTGATGTCGGATTGCTATTTTTTTCATTACCAAAATCATTAGCTGAATTACAAATCTACTTGCTGTTGAAATCATAAATATACTCTTTATTTGAGTCATGAACTATTCACTATTGAAATTGCAATTTACTGCTAAATTTACAAACCTACTACTATTTACTGTTAAAATAATAAACTTATCTATTGTTGCAAACTGGTTCTGCTCATTTCACCAACACTTATTTCTTAGACACAATACTTCATTGACAATCAATTCATCAACAATCAATTCACTAACAATCAATTCACCAACAATCAATTCACCGATACTCAATTCACTGACAAGCTTAATTTACTAACCTTATAGTAAATATAATTCTGGTATAATTATTTTGTTGATGAATTAAGTGTTGGTAAATTGATTGTTAGTAAATTGAGTATTGGTGAATTAAGTGTTGGTGAATTTATTGTTGGTAAATTGAGTGTGGTGAATTGATTGTTGGTAAATTTAGTATTGGTGAATTGAGTGCTAGTGAGTTGAGCTTGTCAGTGAATTGAACTGTTAGTGAATTAAGCTTGTCAGTGAATTAAGTATCAGTGAATTGGTTGTTAGTAAATTAAATATTAATGAATTAAGTGTTAGTAAAATGAACATGTCTACGAAATGAGTGTCGGTAAAATGAGACGGACCCAAAAAAAAGTCAAATGTAAAGAACTCACATCCTATATAGGTGACAAAAAAGTAAGTGGATTGGTAGAATTAGTGTTTGATTTGTACTATTATTAATTGTAAAAAAAAAACAAGTATGTAAATAACTTACAAACTTATATAGATAACAAAAAAGTAAGTGAATTAGTTAAAATTAATGTTCGATAAAGCATTGATTTGTATCATTATTTATTATAAAAAAAAATATTGTTTGTAAAGAACTTTCCTTCTATATAGATGACAAAAAGTAAGTAAATTAGTTAGAATTAACGTTTAATTGAGCATTGATTCGTATTATTATTTACTATAAAAAAAAAAGTCATATATAAAGAACTTACTTGCTGTAGAAGTAACAAAAAAGTATGTATATTAGTTAGAATTAACGTTCAATAGGTCATTGATTGTATTATTATTTACTGTAAAAAAAATGTCGTATATAAAGAACTTACAAACTATATAGATGCCAAAATGTAAGTGGATTAGTTAAAATTAGCATTTGATATGGTATTGATTTGTAACATTATTTACTGTAAAAAAAAATTGTATTTAAAGAACTTACCTCCTATATAGATGACAAAAAGTTAGTGGATTAGTTAGAATTAACATTTGATAGGTCATTGATTTGTATCATTATTTACTATAAAAAAAGTTGTATATAAAGAACTTACAAACTATATAGGTGTCAAAAATGTAAGTGGATTAGTTAGAATTAGCATTCGATAGAGTATTAATTTGTATCATTATTTACTGTAAAAAAAAATATTGTATATAAAGAACTTACTAACTATACAAGTGACAAAAAAGTAAATAAATTAGTTAGAATTAACATTTGATAGGATATTGATTTGTGTCATTATTTACTGTAAAAAAAAATAGTTCCACTTATTTCACCAATACTTATTTTGTAGACACAGCATTTCACCAACAATCAATTCACCAATATGTTCATTTCACTTGTGCTCAATATACCAATATTCAATTCACAGACACTCAATTCACAGATACTCAATTCGCTGACAATTAAGTAAATTAATCTTTTCAGTGAATTGATTGATTATTGGTGAATTGAGTATTGGTGAATTAAGCTTGTCAGTGAATTAAGTGCCAGTGAAATAATGTAGTTGAATTGTTTGTCAGTGAAATGCTATGTCTACAAAATAAGTGTCAATGAAATGAGGCAGATCCATATTTAAAACTATTGAAATTATACAAATATACTTACTATTAAAATTATAAATCACCACCATAACTACTGTTGAAATTATGAATCACCAAGTGTAATATCACTAACCTACCATTAATAAAATTGTGAACTTGCTAGCTACTAAAATTATAAACTCATTTACTATTAAAATCATAAACCACCACTAGCTAAATAGTGTGATATTTATGGTGTCATACTTTATATTATTTCTAAAGGTTTAATAGGTTAAAAGTTCACGCCAACTGCAGGTAAGTATTTATGGTTTTAGTATAATATTAGAAACATCAACTAAACAAAAACACTTTGGTGGTTATGAATTTAATTTTGGTCTCACAATAAAAATTTGTAAGGATTGTATCTTCTCTAAAAAGCTTGTTCTGAAGAAGGATAAGCATTTTCAGATATTCTTTACAAGAATATTTGATTGACTTCTTGAACTCTCGAGAGTAGACTATACTTGTAAAAGTACTACACTGACTTTCAGTAAGCCCACCTAACTTTTTAGCAATAACCTTGGATTCCTGTAGCTCTGCTAATGACAAATTTGGAAAGTAAATAAATATTTTATATCAAACATTACAACTTCTATAATTCTTCAGCCAAATTCTTACCTGACTACAGTTAACAAACAATATGCGTTGGAAACTTTCAATTGGTAAATAGCATGATAGATATTTGTGTTTTAATATATATACTAGATCTTAGATTTGAGTAATACCCCAGGGCACGATTTAATTTTTTATCTCTTAATTTGTGACTTGGGTTTAAATAAACCCAAATTAGGTTTACTTGAACCCAACTTTGGTCAAATAAACCCCAGATTAAGTTCATTTGAATCTGACTTGTGTTTACTTGAACTCGAATTGTGTTCATCATAACATTTAATGACAGAAAGGAAATGCTTTAAATCTAATATATTGTAATAGATGGTTAGGAGATCAACACACAATGAATGCGCAGTGTAGCACCAACCACTACTAGAAGTTGGGTGGAATGAATAATAGAAGGCTTTTATAGAGTATAGTAATTCCATTAGGACGACTTATTGATGGTGTGAAATTAAGGAGAATATCATTATGTCTATGTTACTTTAATAAGAGAATAAGGTTCTTCCGTTTATTAGAATAAATGCTTCACTTTTATACATTTAGATTAATATGAAAGAGAATACATTCTGGAGCATACTTTATGA